GATTTTCTAATACTTTGTTGAGGATTTTTTAGAAGTTTGGTTTAATCGCTTATTTTTCATTTTTGTTAGTAATTACTTTGTTTTTTGTTTTGTTTCGTTTTTTTGTTTTTTGCTGGGAAAGATTCACCCTGAGCTAACATCTGTTGCCAATCTTCTCTTTTTTTCCCTCCGCAAAGCCCCAGTACATAGTTGTACATTCTAGTTGTAGGTCCTTCTAGTTCTTCTATGTGAGCTGCTGCCACAGGATGGCTACTGACAGACAAGTAGTATGGTTACACGCCCAGGAACCAAAGCCGAGCTGCCAAAGCGTAGTGTGCCCGACTTTAACCACTAGGTCATCAGGGCTAGCTCGAGGATTTTTGCAGCTAAACTCATGAGAGATATTGATCAGTAGTTTTCTTTTTTTGTACTTTGTCTGGCTTTAGTATCAGAGTAATAGTGGCCTTATAATTTTATGGAAGAGATTGTGTAGAATTGGTGTTAATTCTACTTTAAATGTTTGGGAGAATTCTCCATTGAAAGTAACTGGGCCTGGAGATTTTTTCAGGAGTCTTTGAATGATTAATTCAATTTTTTAGTAGTTGTATGACTTTTTAAATTATCTATTTCAGGGGCCGGCCCTGTGGCTGAGTGGCTAAGTTCGCGCGCTTCGCTGCAGCGGCCCAGGGTTTCGCTGGTTTGGATCCTGGGCACAGACATGGCACCGCTCATTGGGCCACTTTGAGGTGGCATCCTGCATGCCACAGCTAGAAGGACCTGCAACGAAGATATACAACTATGTACCGGGGGAATTTGGGGAGATAAAGCAGGAAAAAAAATTATTTCATATTGGGTAAATTATAGTAGTTTGTGTTTTTTTAGGAATTGGTCCATTTCATCTAAATGGTCAAATTTATGCATATAGAACTGTTCTTAGCATTTTTTTATCCTTTTAATGTCTGTAGGGGTCTGTAGTGAGATCCCCTATTTCATTGCTGATATTACTAATTTGTATCTTCTCTTTTTTATTGTTAGTCTTGATAGAAGTTTATCAAATTTTTAATCTTTTCAAAGAATCAGCTGTTTGTTTCATTGATTTTCTCTGTTGTTTTCCTGTTTCCAATTTTACTGATTTCTGCTCTTAATTATTCCTTTCTGCTTGATTTGTGTTTATTTTGATCTTCCTCTAGTTTCTTGAGGTGGGTGCTTAGATTATTGATTTGAGACTTTTCCTCTTTTCTAATGTAAGCATCTAATACTATAAATTTCTCTCTCAGCACTGCATTAGCTGTGTCTCACAAATTTTGATATGTTGCATTTTCATTTTCATTCAATATATTTTATTAAATTTCCAATAGATTAATTAGAAGTGTGTTTTTTAATTTCTAAGAGTGTGGGGAATTTCCTGCTATCTTTCTATTATTGATTTCTAGTTTGATTCCATCATGGTTAGAGAATACACTCTATATTATTTCAATTCTTTTAAATTTGTTTGGGTTTTTTTTTATGAACTGAGATATGGTCTATGCTGTGAATGTTCCATGTATACTTAAAAAGAATGTGTTTCTATGTTATTAGGTGGAGTGGTCTATAAATCTCAGTTCAGTCTTATTTGGTTGATGCTGCTTTTCAGTTCTTCTATATCATTGTTGATTTTCTGTCTAGTAATTCTATCAGTTGTTGAGAGAAGTATTGAAGTTTCCAACTATAAATGTAGACGTGTATTTCTCCTTTCTATTCTTTCAGTTTTTGCTTCAAGAAATTTAAAGTTCTGTTGCTTGATGCATACATACACATTTAGGATTGCTATGTTTTGTTGGTGGGTTGGACTTTTACCATTATGTAATGTCTTTCTCTGTCCCTGGCAATTTTCTTTGCTCCAAAGTCTATTTTATCTGATATGAATACAACCACTCTTCCTTTTTTGTTTGTATGTACATATAATGTTTGTATGTATGTATCTTTTTTATCCTTTTACTTTCAACCTCTCTATATCATATTTGAAATGAATTTCTTGTAGACAGCATAGAGTTGGGTCATGCTTTTAAATCCATTCTGCTGGTCTCTTTTTGTGCATTTGTGTATTTAGACCATTTATATTTAATGTAATTATTGATATCATAGGGCTTACATTTACTAGTTTTAAAACTCTCTGTTTGTTCCTTCTGCTTTTTGTTCCCCTCTTTGCGTTTTCTTGCCTTCCTATGGGTTACTTGAACATTTTTTAGAATTTCGTTTTGATTTATTGGAGTATTTTTAAGTGTATATCTTTGTATGCTTATTTTAGTGATTTCTTTAGATTATACATATGTAACTAATCACAACCTACTGGTCTCCACATTTTACAACCTTAAGTGCCGTATAGAAACCTTATCTCCATTTAGGTTCCTTTATCCTGTCCCTTTTATAATTTAATTCTCATACAATATTTTCTCATATACATTGAGAACCACATCATACATTGTTATAATTTTTGCCTCAACTATCAAACATAATTTTTCAAACTCAAGAGAATAGTCTATTAAATTTACTCCCATTTTATTCTCTCTGTTCTTTCTTTATTCGTGATGCTTCAAGTTTCCTTCTTTTGTCATTTCCTTTCTGTTGGAAGAACTTCCTTTAGCAGAGTTCTTTTACAGCAGTTCTGCTGGCAACAAATTCCCTTGCTGTTTTGTCTTCCTGAAGTTTGATTATGCTTTATCTGGTGTAGATTTCTTTGGATTTTTGTGTGGGGTTTGCTCAGCTTCTTGAGCCTGTAGGTTTATATCTTTTGCCAAATTTGGGAAATATTCAGCCATAGTTATCCAAGTACTTTTTCAGCCTCAATCCTTTTTCCCTCTCTTTCCAGAACTCTGATGAAATGAACAGTAGACCATTTCTTGTAGTACCACAGGTCCCTGAGGTTTGTTCATCTTTTTTCATTCCATTTTCTCTCTGTTCAGACTGGGTAATTTCTGTAGTTCTGTTTTCAGATTCACTAATTCTCTTTATTTTGTCATCTTTATTCTGCTATTGAGCCCATCCAGTGAGGTTTTTTTTTTAAGATTGGCCCTGAGCTAACATCTATTGCCAATCTTTTTTCTTTTTTCCCTTCTTCTCCCCAGAGCCCCCGAGTACATGTTGTATATTCTAGTTGTAGGTCCTTCTAGTTCTGCTATGTGGGATGCCACTTCAGCATAGCTTGATGAGCAGTGCTGGGTCTGCACCCAGTATCCAAACCAGTGAAACCCTGGGCCACCAAAGCAGAGCATGCAAACTTAACCACTCGGCCACGGGGCTGGCCCCAATCCAGTGAGCTTTTTAAATTTAAATTCCTAAAATTTCCATTTGTTATTTTATATTTCTTTGCCAAGAATTTCTATTTTTCTTTTGTTTCGAGTGTGTTCATAATTGCTAATTGAAGCATTTTTATGACAGCTGCTTGAAATCCTTTTCAGATAATTTCAGTATCTGTGTTGTTTCAGTGTTGGTATCTGTCAGCTTTTTTTTCTCATTCAAGTTGAAATTTCCCTGGTTTTTGGTTTGATAAGTAATTTTCATTGTATCCTGCACATTTGGGATACAGTTGATCATATGTTATGAATCTCTGATTTTTATTGAATCTTCTATCTTAGCAGGCCTCCACTGACACTGCACTAGTGGAGAAAGGGGCGCATCACCTGGTTATCCTGCCAGGTGGGGATGGTAGTCCAGAAGTCCTGGCTTCCCACTAGGCCTCTGCTAATGAGGAAGGAGTTTTTTTTTTTTCTGTGGTGCATTGTTTCTGTCTTTCTAGGCTGACCCTTTACCTGCCCTTTGGCTAGAGATAACAGGCTTTTCTTGGGGCTTTTTGGTCTGTGACCATTGGCACTTCTGGCCTGCTGGCTTCTTCAGTGGCCATTCCAGGATATAGAGGAAGCAAAAAGAAAGCCCAGGGAACTCACAGCTATGTTTTTCCTCAATTCCCAAGATCCCTAGTCAGTCTGCCTTCTTTTCCCCACCCTTTAAGTTTTTGTCTTTGTTTTATATATCACGTTTGGAGATTTTATTTATACTTTTTTGGGGGAATAAGGAGAAGTGCGTAGACTCCATCTTATCTGGAACCAGAGTTAGCCCATGTGGAAATTGGTTTTTATTAAACTATACTGAAATTTGACACAGTGACTCTTTCTTTATGTAAATAACTTCTACTAACAGAATACTGAAGCTTCATAGAAAGGCCTCAAGACATTTATGAAGTTAGCTTTTCCTTAATGCTTAATGTGAATCTTTATTGCAGAGTTTCAGTCATCTAGAAAGTGCTTCTTTCCCAAACTCTGCACCAGTAGCTCTATTAAGCTGATGGGCAGTTTCACCACATTAGAAAATAATGGCAAATTGGCACACATCCAGGATCAGAGGAAGGCTCACAAGAAAGCAAGAAACTGGTGGCAGAACTGGTACAAACATACCCAGAGTCAGCCCATCCTGTGCGTCTCCCATACAGTGATGCGGTGAGTTTTAATGAAAGAAGAAAAAAGTTCAGATGCCACAAAGGTAGGAAGCTGGATTCACTGCTTATATACAGCCTCAGTTTTACAGAACAGCCAATTGTTGTTGGTATGATATATTTTGCACGTTGACCAGTACCCATGTGAAGCATGGATGGTTACATGGTTGATGCCTAAAGGTATAGCCTCAATCCCAGCTCTTCTCCCTGCTTTACCCAGCAGGTCTCCAAAGGTTCTGATCTCCTCAACAGGCGCCCCACAGCAGCAGCTGTAGAAAGCACAGACCTACTGACAGAGGTGCCCCCACCTTTTTCTTGTCTTTATCCTCACCAAACGTCTCTTGGGTCACATTTTCTCCTGGCCTGTCTTCACAAAATAGAAATGATAGACACTGATTCAGTATGGACTTCCAGCATTGGATAATGCAGCTTAGATAAGGCAGATTATGGGTTTCAAATTTAAGAGGCCTTACATCAGCGGGGTCCAACAGGCTTTCTGTCTGTGGATTTCTGTGTTCTGTAGTTCAAACATCCTTTGTTCCTTCCCTTTCAGGTGAGTCAGCATGAACTGGGGCACTCAGCATGTCGCCCCAGCACTGGAGAAGCCACGCTGTGGATGCAGTCTGTCACACTGTCAGAGACTGGGACTTGATTTGGTACCACCTATTGTGCAGTTCTGTGGGACAGGAATATCGTGAGTTGTTAAAGAATGACCAACACATTGGTTGAAATGAAGTCTCCAGTAAGGAAGTGACAGTGCAACGTGGATCATTATGGCCATAAAGTAGGAAGAGCTTTAGTTCCCAGCCTGAACCTGCCTCTGCTGGAGCCATTTCAACAAGGCATCCTCAGAACAGAAACGTGATTTGGTACCATTTCCCATCAGCGGGTGTCTGGACAAAACATCAATGTGAATAAGGGCCAAGTGTGGTCCTGTGTATCTTGATTAAATTACTTAATATTAAATAAAAGGTCTGGGTGGTATTGTTTTAAACCTGACTCATCCAGCTCTTCTTCAAATAGCTCTCTCCCACCCTCCATTCCTGAGCTGATTTTTTTTTGGGGGGTGAGGAAGATTGGCCCTGAGCTAACATCTGTTGCCACTCTTCCTCTCTTTTATACGTGGGACACTGCCATAGCATGGCCTGATGAATGGTGTGTAGGTCTGTGCCCAGGATCCAAACCCACGAACCCTGGGCCTCTGAAGTGGAGTGTGCAAACTTAACCACCACACTGCCAGGCTAGCCCCACTGAACTGAGAAATTGAAAGCAATTTCTCTCCCTGGGGTGGGAGAATCCTAATGAGCTGAAACAAATTTTTGCTTTTAAATTGTTCTATCTGGTGTTTTTGTAATTATACTATTAAATAACACTGGAGTCATGTTAATGACAGGATTTGTGCCAGGAAGCAAATTTTATGATGTAGTTTAACTGTGTGGTTCAGAGAAAAACTAGTCTACATACAAACGAATACAAAGACTATGAAGGAAACTGTATATTGGGTTCAAGGATCTTAGCAATTATCCAACACTCAAAGCCTATTAAAGACTGTTGCAGGCCAGAAGTCACAGGCAAGAGACCAGGTTTAAAGTGTTTCTTTTAACCTTAACAGGCACTTTCTTTTTTGAGGAAGATTAGCCCTGAGCTAACATCTGCTGCCAGTCCTCCTCTTTTTGCTGAGGAAGACTGGCCCTGAGGTCACCTCCGTGCCCATCCTCCTCTACTTTATACGCGGGAATGCTTACCACAGCATGGTGTGCCAAGCAATGCCATGTCCGCACCCGGGATCTGAACTGGCGAACCCCGGGCTGCTGAAGTGGAATGTGTGCACTTAACCGCTGTGCCACCAGGCCGGCCCCAACAGGCACATTTTTAAAATCTCAAAAATCTGTTGCTGTGATTTTTAGACCCTATTTTAAAACTAAATTTCTTCAAGCATCTAAATCAGGGGTCAGCAAAAACCTTTCTGTAAAGAGTCAAACAGTAATAGTTCAGGCTTTACAAGCAAATAGTTGCTTGCTTCTGTTGCAACTCCTCAGCTCTGCATGAAAGCAGTCACGGACAATATGCAAATGAGTGAAGTGTATGCCAATAAGACTTTATTTACAAAAGCAGGCGGTGGGCCGGATTTGGTCAACCCCCGGTCTAAAGGAAGTTGGAGAGGAAGAGCTTCCACCCAGAGAAGAACCTCTCAGTGAGGGGAAGAAACAGACTAAGAGTAGGCTCATACCGCACTCTTCTACAACTGACAATACTTTTAAAATACAAAACAAGATTAGCTCAGCCAGTTAATCTTTTTATTTTGAGTTTTGTAAAAAAAAAAAAAAAAAATCCTTGAGAAAAAATGTGTTAAATATCAGTAAAGAGCAGGAAAACATGTGGCTAGCTTTACACTATCAAGCTAAACATATACACAAAGGCGAACATTAAGTAAAATACTAGGGAAAGGTAGCACGTTGGGGCCTAACTGCAGTTTTCCTTATTGCACATAAAGATTGCTGATAACTCCAAGTCTTCACTTTTTCACAGTTGAACATACTTTACTATTATTTTATCTAACATGATTTATATAACATAACGTTAATTGTATAAAACCACCAGTTTGCTACTGTCGAATGCAAGTAGAAGACAACGTTCTTCCCAATTGCAGTATGTAAGCTCTCTATAAAAAGTTCCCCAGATCACATCATCCCCTGTTAAATTCATCCTATTCTATTTAAAAAATTGCTTTTCAGCTATTAAATGAATCTTGGTGGCCTTCTCACTTAATCATTTTAATGGACATAGTAAAACTTCCTAAGTAAGAAGTACCAGATGTATTTTATGTAAAAAATAAAAAGACAACCTAGGAGGAGGTGAGGCTGCCATGAAGTCACACTTTGAGTGATTTCAGTGATAAATCCCAAATCCACAGACTTAAGACCCACACAACTGAAAAGCATTCCTCTGCTTCTCGAAAGCCCACAACTGGAATAAATAATCACAGCGAGGCTCAGCCCCCAGATGCCCATCAGCTGGATAGCGCCCCAGTAACGCTGGCATCTGAACTTTTTTTAAGTGCTTTAGACAGCAGATGTAGAGTTCTTCACGCTGTTTACAAGTCCTTTTCTGAGTTCCTCCACCATACACAGGCCCAGATAATTTTCCACCGGCCAAGAGTCAAACTGACTGTGACATTGGGCAATTCTGTTAACCCTTTTTAAAAGGTGGCCATCAGAAATGAGAAGTGACCTCAGACCTTTTCAAAAGGTAGAACAAGCAGGCCTGCTTTCTCATCTTCTCCAAGGCATGTGGAGCTGAAAACTGGCGGCCTGTACATTCCATGTGGGCCGTGGTTACAGTATACCCTGCTTACCAAAATAAAACTGATATCGAGAACTTTGGTTTTGCTCTTTAAAGTTTCTGCTAGCACTGGGTGACAAGATGTGTTTGTTAACTAAAAAAAACTACTTATAAAAATTGAAACTGGAAAATAATGGTTTATTTCTAGGTCTTGCTTTGAAAGGATTGTCAAAGAGCCTCCTTGCTTCTCCTATTAGACACTAGCATTGGTTTCTAGAGCATTTCTCTGCACACTGTGGTCATTCGGGTTTAGAAAGCGGGGGGAAGTCTTTTCAGGTGTGAAAGCCGTGAAAGCAGCATTCACATGGGTTTGTTTCTAAACTCTAACTCTTGGCCACCAGATTCCTTCAATCTCCTGTGTCAGCACACAGCAGCTGACGCTGGCAGGCCAGGTTCTCACTTAAAAAACAAGATAAGAGATCAGAATTCAATGATAGCAGCCTTATGCATTTGACAGACTAGCTCCCCCACTAACTCATCTACAGAATCAACAGCAAACAGCAGGCACGAAACTTGTCAAGTTCCCCATTTCTCAAGTGGAAAAAGTCATGCTTATGAAATCAGCAAGCTGACTTTCCAGCAGCCCTCATTCCAGATAGCATTTTACAGCAGATGGTAAAATCAGCTTCTGACACACCTCTTAGAGCTCACAGTGGGTAGGAAGGTGGGTTTCCCCGTGGGTGATTTTCCCCTCTGATGAGTTGCTCAGTGGCCCGCCACTGATCTCCCCTCAGTACATCAGTGGGGTTTCTACATTTAGAAATCACGTTGTTCGTGTTAAATATTTGACGTGATTACATTAACTCCACTGCGGACAAAGAAAGGGAGAGAGACGGGGGGTGGGATGTGAACCAGACCTCTCTTTTGGAAGGAGCTGTTACTTCTTTGCTTTAGACTGAAATGTTCGTGGATAGCTGAGATATCATTTTTCATGTTTTCCAAAGAGATTTCATTTGTCAACGAAACCACAGAGGACATTTTCAAGTCTAGAGAACACAGCCTAAAGAGCTCCCTGCTGTTTGCTTGATGAAACATCTGATGTCACAGTGTGATTCTGGCTTCCAGGCTTCCATGCTCATTTGTCCGGTCACTGAGTAAGAACCCTGGATGGGCAGAGTCCATTTAATCACATCTTCCCTTCCTATACTTGTTTCCCAGGAAGAAATCCAGCCTTATTTAAATTCCAAATTTCCTTTTCTAGGAGAGAAAGTTCACGTCTTCTTGTAGCCCCCAAAAACGGTATTAAAAGGTATGGCAGGAGACTTTATTTTCCCTCTGTCTGTGCAATACCAAAATTTGCATCTCCTGAATGACCCGCTACCGACTTCATCACCACAGGGCCTCTGCTCGGGCAGGAAAGGGCCCCCCCTTATTCTGAGGGGTCCAGCATGGATTCAGGCATGGGGACAAGCAAAGTGTGAAGAGGAAGAAAGGTCACCTGACTGCGAAGAGGATGACTAACTCAACCCCAGGTTAAACTGGAAAGGCAGCTTCTTAGAAACCTTCACATTTGATTACTCAGCAGCTCAGTTAAGACAAAACCCGCTTTTTTCCACAAACGGGGGCAAAGTTGACAGGTTTCTAATCCCCTGCCCCAGAAATACCCTTATGTCTCCCTTTCGCGCTCCGAGGTTTTTAAGCGTGACCTTTGCAGCTGTCCTTACGGAGCACGTTCTCGAGGTCAGCGAAGATGAACATGAAGCGTGTCCCCGGCTGCCCGGCTGTATCGTCGGCCACTGCTCAGTTTGGTCCACGTGACTAACAATTTTTTAAAAACTTAATTTGCTAGGCCATTCTTTAAGGGTCCAAAAATGGTCCACTGGGAGTTCTACACTCAAGGCTCTCAACCCTGGCTGCACATCAGAATCCCTGAGGGTCCAAAACAAAGCCCGGAAGCGAGGCCCCCTCCAAACCTACTGAACCTCAGTCTCCGAGGGGCAGAGCTCTGACACTGGTATTTTTTTAAAAAACTGGCCAGGTAACCCTAATGTGCAGCCTGGGTTGAGAACCTCTGCTCTAGAACATTCGACTGCTGAACTGCCATCCCCCCAACCCAGAACAAATATGCTTGTAAGATGACTTGGGATTACCCTCTCAGAGGAACTCCGTTCAGTTGGATATACCATTACTCAGCAGTTTTGGTGTGATTTATGCCAGACTAGCAGCCAACAGTTGGCCTTGAGTTAGATCATTTCTGGGCTTCGTGGCACCCCACTCTTCTCCACTCAGCACAGGCATAAGCTTCTAGAGGTGGAAGCATTTCAATGAATGGACTCCCTTCCTGGGACCCCTGGTAAGGTGAGGATTATTCTTCACATCTTGCAAACAAAAATCAGGACCATGGGTCAGTGACTTACTCTGATCCACTGAATAAAAAAACCCAATCAAATAACTACAACCCTAGCTAAAGTTTGGTCTGGTCTCGGCAAACCTCCACTTACTCATATTTAAGTAGGTCAGAATAAAATGTTTGCAGCGAAGACTATGAGACCCTTTGGGGGAAAACACAATAATCTACAGATTGACCTAAGACTAGGATGAGAACCTCAGTGGTTATTAGCCCTCCCTATGAGGGTAATTTCTTATAATTTGCTGCAAGCTTCCTGTAAAACCAAAATGACAACAAAGCCTTGAGGTTAATGAAGACAGAGTATGTCCTACTTGGTTGGCTCTTTTCAAGAACCATTGTCAGGCTTTTTCTGTTAGCTTCTTCCCTCCAAAATTAAGTAAATAAGCAACATAAGAGACAAGCAAGGCTTTTTTATAGACCCAACCAGCCTATCTCTCCATCTCTGCAAAAAACACACACAAAAGCCTCGCCTTTTAAGTTTATATGGCATGACTGGCCATGACTGAGATAACGCTACTGAATAAAAACCCCTGTGCTGGTTCGGGGCACGGGCACAGACACATCGCCAGCCCTCTGCCAAGCCTGGCAGCTGCCCTCTGCAGTCTGACCCCACACCATAATGCCCCCCATCCAGGGCTCTCTAAGAAAGCTGCTTCTCTGGTTGTGGGTCATAGGTTTTCTCCAGTCCCTCACTAGCCGAGGTAACCCAGAGTGTCTCAGGGGTTAGGTCCGTTGGTTAGCTTTTTATCAAACTCACAGAGCCCAGGGATAGCCATAAAATCAAAATGGACTTTAGTGTAGAGAGAAAGGAAGGAGGGGAATAAAAATCATTCAATTATATTATATTGAAGCATAAGAAATTGCCATTTCTGTATTTTAAAAATGGTTAAATATCAGCAATTTCATATGACTCAACCTAATAAATTTTTCCTGGTTTGCACAAATCTAACTCAAAAACAAAGTGTGAAGCAATGTCTTATTTAAAACTGTGAGTTAAGAAGATTAAATGGCTGATTTCATTATGGGTGGACTAGACTGGGCCGCTACTTTGTCTGCCATAATTAAGAAAAATGTCTACATTTTATGAAAGCATTTTTTAGAAACTTGGTTTTCAAATATACTAGCACTGAAGCATAGAGACGTGGGGAGAATCTCAAACTTGGTTTCTAAGAATTCTCTCAGTATTTCACCTACTACAGGTGTGGGCAGGTAGAACAGCTCACTCACCAAGAACCCAAACTAAAAACCTAAATTTCAAACTACATTCACACATCAAGCTGGTACAAGCCTCCCTAGGTACCAAGAAGATGACCTTTCTCTACACGGCACTCAGTGTGAAGACATCAGATCATTAATCTTATAGCAGATGGGACCTTCCACTGGGGTGAATAACGCTTAAGCTTCCATTCACTCACTTCTGCTTCCTCACGTGGCCACTGAAACCTCATGCATTTATTAGCTCAATGTTTAGAATTGCACTCAGTCTTTAGAATACTATCTTGTGTTTTCTTTGCAGTTAGTTTTTTCACAGTGAGATTTCTTCCCTCTGAATAATAGCCTATTGCCTCTTAGGCTTCTTGCTGCCTTCTCTTCCCCAGAAAAAAGTATCCCACAAATTTTGGTGTTATCTCCAAACCCACAGTAGATATCTCAGTCCTATTAATCAGTTCCCAGGCAGTCAGCTCATATGGTAGCCCTCAAGAATTGACTGGTTTTTGCAGTGATATCATCATCAGTGTCTAAACAGTTTCTCCTGACCTCAGGTTAATTAAAAAACAACAATATAACACTATTTTGCCTTTGGTTTAAAACATTTCAGTCACTTGTTCTTTATGGAGATTTCCAGAAGGAATTATAATTCTTGCCTCCACGTTGAAATGTTCATGGATATATTTTCCAGTCTTCAGTCTAGAGCAGACACAGGGAGCAACGGAAGTCAGGAATCCTGACCTGAGGCTGCGGTCACGCAGCCCTCGGGCCCGGAGCCTCCACTCAAATTGCTTGTTCGTGTTTTCTGTCCCATGAAAGACCGGCTTCCCATAATCCTTGGAGGGCCAATCTCAATTGCCTTCCTTCACCATCTTTCCTCTAGCCTGTTCTCCCCGAACTTGCCATTTCCACAGCCAGCTAGGCTTGCACTGCTGCGTATGGATAGGAAGCCTCTCCTGGGAGCAGGTCCCAGCGCCTGCCACACCTTGTTCAGATGCTGCAGGCGACTGAAGGGAGAGACCGGTAAAGCATGCTATCGTTGTGGTGTTTAACTCTGAACAGTGCACTACTATGTGGAAAAGTAGGAATAGGTCTGCATTTGTCTTGACTTAGGGACACTTCAGCCCCACCAGCTGCATCTTGGGTTAAGTTTTAAATGTTAAGATATCTTCAGACCTCAATAAAACAGGAGCGTTAGTTCCACTCAGTCAATGCCCCGCCTCACACAACACTGGGGCTAGCAACCCTCCTCACCCCACCTGGGTGGGCCGACCCCTTCGCCTCAGGGTTTGGGGGGCGTCATGCATTATCATCCAGGGGGAACACCAGGCGGGTGCCCCGGCTGGAAACCTTCTGGTCTCCCATTCCCAGGTCTCGTTCCAGCACCTCCTCGGAGCTGCTCTTTGTTCTCCGACCACCCTCGAGGCTTGTGGAGGCTGTGTGGGAGCCTGAGGAGCCATTCGCAGTCACTGTGCTGTCCCCGTAGGTCAAGGTGAGGTCACCCTCAGTCAGGATGAAATCGGAGTCTTCCTCTCTCAGTGGCTCTTGGTTCTGAAAAGTGCAAGGAAGAGAAACAACAAATGGGGGATTGCTATCTTCCAGGGCTGGAGCCAACCCCAACCTCGACTCCTCATCTGAAAACTAAGGATCGTGAGACTTGCCTGCCTTGAGCCTCCAGGGTGGTCACCAGATGTAAACTGCAGAGTGCTATTCAGTGTAAGGCACTGTTGCCTGAACCAGAACTTCGAACGCCAGAAAGCAGTTCTGATTTTAAATGCCTGACAGCTCAGGGTTGGTGACAAAAGGGAAGAAAGGGAGACCAGCCTGGATTTGCAGCTTCCCAACCCACGAAGAAAGGAAGGGGTGAGGTCACTCGGAAAACCTGCAAATAGGTTTTGGGTCCTCTCTTCTCTGGGGAGATCTTCCGGGTGGGCCTCCTGCCCCACACAAACCATCCTAAATCCACCTGCTCTACAGCTGAGCTACAGCAATTGAGGGAAGAGGACAAACCGGAATGGGGATTTCCTTCCTCTCTCCCCAGAAAAACCCTGATGGGAAGCCCTCAGGTAGATGAAGGGAGTGATAGAGAGGGAGGGCGCATTTTCTTGGGCATCTATACATGCCTGTCAGGAACATCACATAAGCTCTCATTTGATCCTCCTCCCCCCGCCCCCACCCCAGCCCCATGCAGGATGCACTCAGGTTAATTAAAGAGAAGATCTGAGCTAAAGAGAGCCTATGAAATTTGCTGGAGGTTGTCCAGCTGGTAGGAATGAGAGTTAGGATTTACGGTGCCTCCAGACTGGTTTTACCCACATAAAGGATGTGAGAAATCACTCTGGCAGGAAGAGGACTGGCATGGCATCGCATGCTAAGCAGCAGGTGTAGCAAAACAGACAAGGCTGAGCAAGGCAGGTGTTAGCCAAGCTGCAGCCACTGGAAACTCCAAGAAGGCAGGCAGGGAGAGGCTCAGGAAGCAGCTGAGGTCAGACACAACCTTTCACCCTCCGGCAGGTTTAACAAGCAAAACAAGGGGCGGTGTGCTCCCCTGCTCCCCACCGCACATCTGTCAAACACTGTGAACTTCTGTCTTGAATGGCAAACACATGGTTTCAAAACACTCCAGGGAAACTGCTCTTTCTCATCTACCCTTCAAAGTGCACCTGAAGCCCGGCGTCCTCTACACAACAGAGTCTCCTCAGTCCAGGACACCGAACCAGCCTCCCTGACAGCCTCGTGGTCCCCGTCCAGCCACGCTGCCCGAGGCCACAGGCGGATTCTCCTGTACCTGTGTCTGGACTCTCCGTCTAGATGAGCAACCACCAAAGGGTAGTGACCTTCTTCTGCTCTTCTTGGCACCCTTCCTTAAGGTGCTTAACTTATAGTAGGTGCTAGATGGAGGCCAGTTAAGTGCACTGACCTACAGAGGACCCGTGGGTTCTGTCTACCTCCCTTCTGTCCCAGCCCATCTCTGTGCATTCACTGGTGACAAGCACATGCTTGTTTTCTGCATTGTTTCTCAGTGACGTTGACTGCTCCACAGTCCACACTGTGACTCCACTTAACCAATGCTCCAGCCTTTCTCCAGGCAAGCACGCAACTCCTCTTGCTTGCTGCCTCAAATCCTCACTGGAATGAGGCAGGGTGCAAGTGTACAATTCAATAAAAATCCTCTACTCAGGCAGAGGGTAATCGTGAAACTCCCAAATTTCCTCCTCTCCATTAGTGTTTAGAAAGTCCTGAAACTCAATCTGCTCTGTGACAGTTTTAACAACAAATGACATCATGTATCCCGTTTTAGCCCGTTCCATTTCTCCCTTCACACATGTGCTAAGAAATGTTTTGTTCCTCTCCATCAAAATACTTCTCCCAGGGCTCTTAGCTCCCAGTTTTCAGGGGGAGACTCTCCTGGCACAGATTTTACTCTTTTAAAGGTTTGGAGCCTCAGAGGGACAGAGAGGAATGTGAAACAAGAGCATGTGAGGGAATTGTGCAAATGTAGCCAAGCGCCCCCCACAGCAGCACAGGGGGACCCAGACACGAGCCCCGGCGTGGCCTGCTCTGACCCCTCGCAGTGGAAAGCAGGGCCAAAATTCCCCGCCAGGAGAAAACAAGAGTGGACGTTGACCCATTCCATTACAAAACACAAGCCCAGACAAATAGCACCCAAGGAAAGCTCATTCCTTTCCAGAAACGAGGACACAGTAAAACGCAGTGCAGAGGGATTTCCAAGTCAGAGCTTAATGAATGCTATACGCAGGCGAGGAAACCGATCCACTCCCTCGAGCTCTAGATGACGGGACCGACAATAGTTCTGTTAAGCTAAAGGTTTCCTTAATTATACAACTAGCTGGCCACTGAAGGCTGCTATGAAAAAGCAGTGAAATCACCTTGCAAACACCTGCAAACAAGTGTGCTGTGGGAACGTGCACATTTGAAATAACCAGGGGTCATTGTCATAAGTGGAAGAATACTGTTTTCTAGGTAGATATCAAACCTCAGTGGTTTAGAGGTAGTGGAAACAGTGAATAATGAACACCTTAGATATCTCCCAAATAAACTTGGTGAAGTACAAAACGCCCTATAGGTGATGGGCGAGGACCACACAACCATGAGTCCAACAGCCACGAGAGCCGCCAGCCTGAGACCCTCAGCCGGCACTAGACTCCGCAGGGACCCCCTCCGCTCCCTCACCTTTGGGGTCCTCAGTTAATTTTTCAGACTCTTTGCTCGCGCTCTCTCAGCAGCAGGCACCCCATGTCTGGAGCTGACCGGGAGCCCGGGCGGGACCTCAGCCCAGAGCAGCAGCGGCAGTATGGAGGGTGATCTTGCCTGTAGCCCGTCACCCCATCTTGGGTTGGCTGTGGGGAGTCCACAGCCAAACGTTACCTCTCGGAGCAAAGCCTGAGCAGTCTCTCGAACTGGTGAGGGAAGTGCTTTCAGTGTCAGTGCCTGGCAGTTTACTGAGTTTATGCTGAGTTCAAACTAGTCCAGATACCCTAATCGATGAGCAGGGCAAGAGTCGGTACGCTTCGGATTAGATAAGGTTTTTATAAAGCGTTGGGAGTGGGCTAGTCATTTTACTATTACATAGACATGAAAAGTGACTCTTATAAAACCCAATTAAGATGGGAGGCTTTAGAAATTGTTTAAAAGAGACTAGAGCTAGAAAGCAAAGAAACACATAAACCTGATGTAATCAGCTGGAGCTTCATTAGTGGGACAAGTGGTGATGCCGGGTCAGCACCCTTTGTCTCCGATGATAAAACACATCCAAATGGCCCACACTGTCACCTTAGACAGAGGTCCCAACTGAGCAAACTACTCAGCATTCAGAAAAAGACAGCTTTTATTAAATAGGCTGTCAACAGGACGGGAAATTATAAAGCTTTTTAATCTATTGGTCTGTGTCCTTCCAACATAAAAGGCACTCAGCATTATTATCCAGGCTCAGAGATGTTACATTAAACACTCACCACAAGCGCTAAAATCACTTTACACACTGGGAGTAGTTCCGGGGAAATGCTGCTCTCACCATCCTACTCATGTTTTGTAATTTAAAGACAGTTTATCAGAGGTGATACAGGAATTTCATTTTTATGTGAGGAGGAGCAGGGAGGCTGGAAGGCTCAACTGTCCCCTTAAAGGGAAGGAGACACTGACGCTGCTCTGTCACGGCTGGCGGAGACTCGAAGCAGAGGCCCTGCAGAAGTGCAGTTCTACGAGGCCCAACGCGCTCTCCCAGGGAGGTCGACGCCGCCCACCAGCTAGGTTTGCAGGTGTAGCTCTGTGCCTGCCCCAGGCCTTTTCAACTGCTGCCTTCCTCCTGAGGGAGCCAAGGAGGAGCCCTGAGGACCACACAGAGCTCACTCTCTGCGCAGCAGCAGCAGGGGCAGGACACAGGGCGACCTGGCAGTTGTAACCTGTTCTTGAAGGAAGAGCCGGCCATTTAAGGAGCTGCACCCTCGGATCCCGGGGGCTCTGATCGGGCTGCCCGTCAGCACTCCAGACTGCCGATCCCTCTCTGCCCCAGCGCCCGCTGCCCAGCTACGGTGTCCAGGTGTCAACATCCGTTTCCCCTCTGTACACCTGAATGCACACAACTGCTCCCAAGCCAGCTGCCCCGCCCCGTTAGAACTTAGCGGGTTAGGGCCCTTCTCTTTCAGATCTGGGCTTTGCGTTCTGCTTTTCATCTAATTACTAATTAGATGTATTACTAATTTACTAATTACTAATTTACTAATCAAGTAAACTGTACGTTACTTACTAATTATTGGAAAGCGGCATTAGGGTCTTAGCTCTGCCAGTTACTAACTGTGGGACCTTGGCACGTCCCTTATCTGTAACTGCAGGACCTGCTTAGTCACTGTACAGCCAGGAGAATAAACTTCGCCTTTGGGAACTGTAAGTCTCTTCACGAATTTGAGGACTTCTTTTCTCCTGGGCTGTAATGGTTGTGCCAGTGACAAGATGATTAGGATGGTGGAGGAGAGATGAGGAAGAAGGAAGGTCTTTCCCTCTCCTCCAGTCCCTCCAGGTGGCAGCTGCTTGCTACCCACCTCTCTCTCCATCTCTGCCCGGCAACCTACGTGAGGAGCTCAAGAGTCAGTCCTAAATCTAAGACGTCCACTGGTGTGGATATCCTTTTCATACTGTGCTGAGTCTCTTTCTAGAATCTGAAAATGGAAAGGACCTGCCCATGTCAACATAAATAAACAACTTATAAAAAGAATCCTTACATTTGTGAAATGCTTTGTAGTTCACAGCGAACCTTATCCTTTAATTCTCACAGCACGCCTGTGCTACTAGGCCCGTTTTACACATAAGAAAACTGAGGCACAGAGCACTTAAATGGCCTCAGGGCTTGGATTTGAATCCAGTTGTTCCGATTCCAAGTCCAGTGTTCTTTCAACTATGCCACAGCTGCTGATGTTGTGGAGCCCCACAACCCTGGTAAGAAGTTTCTCTGTTACTGTGCAAAATATATAAACATACGTAAGTTGGCCGTTTCTAATCATCTTATTAGAGAAGCAAGATCTGAATTTGGAGGCTTGAGTGCAATAGGTTCCCTCTTCCTGGGTAAGAGACCATGCCAGCATGGTTAGCAGGAACGCAGCCCCAACGCGCGGCACTTACGTCGTACACCTGGGGACTGGTCAGACATCGAGCGAGCAAGCCACACCAGGCCGGGAGAGTGGTCGTTAACGGGGGGCCACTGTGTGTGAGGATGGGCTTCAAGTAACTTTAAAAAGAGAATTAAGGAAAAACGTCTGCAAAGAAATCACACACCTAACAAAAATGTGTTTACAAATCCCAAAGAGTAAATCATCCGACATTCTACCCACAAAAAGCCTCTTTCCTCCATTTTACCAGTACAATACAGAAAACACTTGTAGTCTGCAACAGTCTGAATCAAAGATTAAACTATGCCCCATCAGCCTTCAGTGTTAACTGTTAACTCTTAGGTTGGTGCTTCCCAATTTTCAGTTTAAAAGAATATTTGATTAACTAGAACACTTTGCTATGTTGAGTGAGAATTCTGGTTTCAATCAGCATTCCAGCTTTTGACACACAACCAGCTCATGTCTTGGAGACAGGAGGTAATGGACCTGGAGCGGAGATGTTGCGGCCACTGGGTGTCTGTAAGTATTCTTGTTAAACCACTCTACCCAGAGGGCACGTGGTGGCAATGTTTGAGGGGGACAGAGGCTTAGAGGTAACCTAGGGCTATGACAAAGGAGGAAATTGAGACCTGGCGAGGTGAAGTGACTCCACCAAAGTCACTCAGGCCGCAGATCTCCCCGCCTCCCGTACAGGGCTGTTCTTCACTCTGCCTGCTGCCTCTCTCCCAGACTCTCCGACACGGCATTTCTCAACCTGGTTACTACTGACATTTTGGGCCAGATCATTCTTTGTTGTGGGGGGCTGTCCTGCATTGTAGGGTGTCTAGCAGCATCTCTGGTCTCCACCCACTAGATGCCAGTAGTACCCCCAACCCCTCCCCTTGGTGTGACAACAGAAATGTCTCCAGACATTGCCAAATGTCCCCTGAGAAGCAAACTCGCCCTCGGTTAAGACCACTGGTCTAACACGAAGGTCAGCTGTTACATGGAGAGCTCAGGGTTTGTCATCCTGTGGATATCTGTGCTGCCAAATGGACAGCCCTGTGTTGGACGCACCATGAAGCACGTGTCACATTATGATAGAGTCGGACCATTTCTGATACCCATAGCCTAACCTGCAATGGAAAAGGGGGAGACTCACATGGGTACCCCAAATGCAGGAATGGCCAAGAGACTTTAAAAGAAGGTCACACGGTGTCGCAGCCATCTGTACTCAAGAGGATGGCTGCTCTCTCCAAGCCCCACCACTTCCTGTCTTCACTTACAGCAGCACGAGAAAGAAGCCTCTCTACAGGAGGAGGAGGAGATGGCACGGGGAGACCGGGCAGACTTCTAGTTGGGAATTACCCAACAAAGGAGGGTGTGCGGACTCTGCTGGAGCTCTTTACCAACAGAATGAGCCTCCTTTGACCGCTGTCCTCTAACGGCCTTCCTGGGAACAGCCCCTACAGGCCTATCAGCTATGTTGTGTCTTTAGCTCACAAGCTGACAGGGGCTGGATGTGTGGAATGATTAATACAAAAAAGTCACCAGGGGACCAGAGGCTACCTTTCAGTTCCCTGCCTCAGGCAGTTCAAAGAAAGCTCCCTCTTCCCCAAATACAGAAGGCCCTCTAACAACTTCTCTAAAAGAGAAAAAAAATATATATGCATACACATAGATTTTAAAATATTCAAATTGTCGGAAAGGCAAAAATGAAATATCAAGTCTCTCTTCTCCACCCAGTTTTGCAGGTAACTACCATTATAACTTTATACAACATTTTCTTCTTCCATTTCTTCATTGATAAACTTTAGTCAAAGGCTTCTAACTCCCTCCTATGAAGGATGGTAAATTTAATTCCCTTATGCTCCTGCCTCCTCTTTCCAATCTTTTTCCTTTCCAATTTTTATTATAATTTATTTTACACTGTAGATATATAACATTTGCATTCTATTTTATAATAAACCTTCTATACTTCTAGACTATAGATTGAGTCTGTTAAAAAGCAATAAGCAGCATTTGTAATAATGTTATTATACGAATATTATTCACCGTAACCAAGCAGTGGTTGGAACACTATTAAAAAGACATGTAATACAATGTCATTTAAACTCTGTTAGTCAGAAGAGAGCACGTGAGTGTCTTGCTAAATAAAGGATCTTTTTAAATTTTTTTTTAATCTTGTTCACTTCTGGGTTATAACAAATCACTGCTTCTTCAACGTTGTCCCCTTAGTTGGATTTTGTTTTGTTTGATCCTTACGGTTTTTACTCCTTCTCATAGAGTCTGCACGGTGCCAAACTTTCTGAATTCTTGCATATCTAAAAGCCACCCTCCTTTTTTTCGCTCATTTTTGATGAAAAGTTCAGGTGTAGAATTCTAGGCTCAGACTTTTCCTTTTCATCCTGGAACTCAGATAGTGCTCGACAGTACTCTAACATTCAATTTTGGTGATTTCACGTCTGATTCTTGCCCCTTTGGAGGCTGCCAGTTTTTCTCTTTGGAACCTTGAAGAGTCCTGTTTTACCTCCTATACTTGTGGAATGCTATAACGAGTACATCCATCCTAGTCACGCTAGGTGGGCCCTTGCACTCTGGAGACAAGTCACTTCCCTTAGCTAAGGGATTCTTTCTTCCATCACTTCTTTGGTATTACTTTTTTTTTTTAAAGATTGGCACCTGGGCTAACAACTGTTGCCAATCTTTTTTTTTTTTTCCTGCATTAATTTCTCAAACCCGCCCCCGCCCCCCACGGTGCATAGTTGTATATCTTAGTTGCAGGTCCCTCTAGTTGTGGGATGTGGGACGCCACCTCAACGTGGCCTGACGAGCGGTGCCATGTCCGCACCCAGGATCCGAACCCTAGGCTGCCGCAGCGCAGCGCACAAACTTAACCACTCGGCCCTGGTACTTCTTTTCCTCCACAGTCTCTATCCTCTCCTTTCAGGTCCTGTTAAATGACTGTGGACCATCTGGGTCTAACCTCCACATCTTGAACTCTTACATAGCTCTGATTTTTTGCTTGAATTCTTAGAGATTTTTTCCTCAACTTTATCTTTCAGATCCACAATTTGGTCTTCACCATGTAATGAAACTATCCATTCCATTTTTGGGTTAATTTCAAAAACTTTAATTTCCAAGAGTTTCTTCTTATTTGATTGCTCCTTTTTCTTTAATTTTTTTTATTAAGGTAACACTGGTTTATAACATTGTGTAAATTTCAGGTGTACATCACTATATTTTGACTTCTGTATAGATTACATCATGTTCACCACCAAAAGTCTAGTTGCCATCTGGATTGCTCCTTTTTCTAATAACCTGTTCTTACATCACGACCGGAAAAATCTCTCAACTCTAAGGATTTTATTAGAAAAATTTAAAAATACATATTTGGAACTGTTTAATTACTTCGGCTCCCTCCACCCTCATGTCTTTACTCAGTTTCTCAGTTCATCAGACAGGTGGGGACTCCTACCACACTAAAGTGGAGGGGGGTAACTCTGGGGAGAAAAATCTTTGGTGGCCTCAAGATCTGCTTCTCTACCAAACCCTCCCCAGGCGGTGTCTCTACTTTCTTTAGAGAACTATGGCCTGAAGAGAAAATTAACAGCTGCTAGTTGACCTGTTGACACAGGAGATACTTGTTGCAGCTGCTCTTAACAACATTCTTTAATAAATCACCTGGCTGAAGACTCACTTTTGTCTTGGGCTACAGTTTTCTCTGCTACAATTCCCTCTACCTTTGGTCCTCCAAGTAGTCAAAAATCTCTCTCCTGTGATTACAGTGAGCCCTGGAAAGAGAAGGGAGGTATATGTGTGCGTTGAGCCTCTCATCTTAAGGTGGAATCCCATCCATGCCATTTTCAGTCTTGTTCAAAGAAGGAGGTACCACACTCCATTCTTGCTGGCCTGTGGGAGTCATTCATACCCAGCTGAACTCTCCTCTGATGCAGCCAAAGCCCACTTTGTCTTGCCTGATTATCTATGGAGCTATAGAATGAATCACGGGCACCTTCCTCATCTAATTCTCCAGACACTTGTGTCTGCTGATGATCTTAGCTTCTCTCCTCCAAACCAAAAAAGTGGAAATCTCAAAGTCACTAAAATTTACATTCAGGTGAGACTTTAGAGATTACTCCTGTTATTCATTAAAGAATCAACCTCTTCTCCCCCCAGCTTTATTGAAGTATGATTGACAAATAAAAATTGTATATATTTAAGGTATACAATGAGATGTTCTCATATACATACACATTGTGAGATGATTACCACATTCAAGCTAATTAACATATCCATCACCTCACATAGTTACCATTTTTTGTGTATGTGGTGAGAACACTTAAAATCTACTCTCTCACTTATGCACTGCTATGTTCATCGCAGCATTATTCATGATAGCCAAGATGTGGAAGCAACCCAAGAATCCAAGTGCCCTGCTACAGACGGATGGATAAAGAAAATGTGGTATGTGTGTGTGTATACATACAAACACACACACACACACACAATGGAATACTACACAGCCATAAAAAAGACACAATTGTCTCATTTACAACAGCATAGATGGAATTTGAGGGTATTATGTTAAGCAAGATAAGCCAGACAGAGAAAGACAAACACCATATGATTTCACTCATATGTGGAAGATAAACAAATACATGGACAAAGAGATCAGACTAGTGGTTACCGAGGGGAAGAGGGTTGGGGGGTGGGCATGAGGGGTAAAGGGTCACATATATATGGTGATGGACAAATAACAATGTACAACTGAAATTTCACAATGTTATAAACTATTATGACCTCAATAAAACAAATCTACTCTCCTAGAAAATTTCCAGTATACAATACAGTATTATTAACTATAGTCACCATGTTGTACATTAGGTCTCTAGAACTTACTTATCTAATAACTAAAAGTTTGTACCCTCTGACCAACAACTCTCCATTTCCCTCACCCTCCAGTCCTTGGCAACCACCATTCTACTCTCTGTTACCAAGAGTTCAACTTTTATAGATTCTAAATATAAGTGAGATCATGCAGTATTTGTCTTTCTGTGCTTGGCTTATCTCACAGCATAATGTCCTCCAGGTTCATCCATGTTGTCTCAAACGGCAGAATTTTCTTTGCTTTTAAGACTGAATAATATTCCATTGTATACATACCCATTTTCTTTATCCATTCATGCATTGACTGACACTTAGCTTTTTTCCATGTCTTGACTACTGTGAATAATGCTGCTATAAACATGGGAGTGCAAATATCTCATCGAGATACTGATACTATTTCCTCTGGATATATACCCAGAAGTGGAACTGCTGGATCATATGGTAATTCTATTTTTAATTTTCTGAGGAACTCTCCATACCGCTTTCCACAGTGGTTGTACCAGATTACATTCCCACCAACAGTGCACAGCGTTCCCTTTTTTCTACATCCTCCCAAGACTTGTAACCTTTTGGCTTTTTGACAACAGCCATCCTAATAGGTGTGAGGTGATATCTTATTGTGGTTTTGACTTGCATTTCCCTGATGATTA